TTTTTTTTTTTTTTTTAACGGTTGAACTGGATGGACTTTTGTCTTTTATCAGCCAGACTAACTATGTAACTATGCATCTGCCAGAGAACCGAATGCCCACTCAGTAGATCAGCACAAACAGGATATAGGAATAGCCCAATAGCCCCCACACATTCACACATTGGGGGTATCACAGTGTCCTATAAACAAAATTACACATACGGTATACAAAAGTGAAACAAAAATTAAACAATTATAAATTGATGAGATATATATATATATATATATATATATATATATATATATATATATATCTATCAGAGTTGAATGGCTGAGCATCAAATAGTGGGAGAAGGATTCCCTGGCAAAATAAAAAAAAAAAGCGCAGAATTACGAAAAAGGCTTATTAGAGATAATTTCATTAAGCCCTGGTGGAATAGTGGCATTTAACCTCTCAATCCATAATGTTTCATGTTGGAGGATCTTTTTGTCCCAATTTCCCCCATGTGGATCTCTAGGGACATCCTCCAACATGGTAAAAGAAACAAATGTCAAAACAACATCTCAGACCAATATGACGGCTAATGGGAGTTAGAATTTTGCTGCTGCCAGAGTAATACAGATGGTCATTAATGTATTGTCATAGCTGGTGCATAGTTTTGCCCACTTAAAAGACATTACACTTGCAGGTCATCAAATGAATGTCTCCCTGGGAGTAAAAACCTCTCTACTAGGCAAGGTAAAAGATGTACTCTCTTTGGTGGCATTGTGGTGCACCATTTACTTTTTGTTTTTAATTTTGACATTTTGCTTACATTTTTGTTTTAAACAAAATTTTATAAAATATGGGGTACCAATGAAGTCCAGAATGTTTCTTTATGTCTGAAATTTGCATTTTATATGTGTTTTTGATGCTTTTGTGAACTCTTTTTACACTTTAATGAAGATTGGCAAATGCCCTGTATGTTTTGGTTTTCTATATGTTATAAAGGGGAGGTGATTATGAGGAAGTTGGCAAATCAGAGGCATGGTTAGGTGTTGGTGTGGGTATTTGATGTTTTTGTTTTGGTGGTTCAGTAGTACCTCCACTCATCATTTTCCTAGTTTAGTAGATCTCCCCCACTCAGCAGTTCCCCAGTTCAGTAATACCGGTGGTTGATCCCCTGCTCTGCAGTTTCCTGGCTTAGCAGACCCCCACTCAAAAGTATCTTCACATAGCAGTACATCCTCCAGTTATATAGACCAAGAGTGTTCAAATGTCCATAAGCTCCAGTGATCTGGCCAGACCACCAATAGGAAGAGACTGTTTCTGCATCTGGGCCATTTCTGCTTTTAAACAAAAATTTATAATATATGGGTTACCAATAAAGTCCAAAAAGTTTGTCTACAATTTGCATTTTCTATGTGCTTTTGTGAACTTTTCTTTAAGCTTTAATGAGGATTGGCAAATGCCCTGTATGTTTTGGTTTTGTATATGTTATAAAGGGAAAGTGATGATGAGGAAGGTAGCAGATCTGAGGCATGGTTAGGTGTTGGTGTGGTATTTGATGTTTTCTTTTTTATTTTGGTGGCTCATTAGTACCCCCATTCATCAGTTTCCTGGTTCAGTAGATCTCCCACTCCGTAGTTCCGTAGTACCTGTGGTTGATCCCCTGCTCTGCAGTTTCCTGGCTTAGCAGACCCCCACTCAAAATTATCTCCACATAGCAGTACATCATCCAGTTATACAGACCAAGAGTGGTCAAATTTCCATAAGATCCAGTTATCTGGACAGACCACCAATAGAAAGAGATTGGCTCTGCATCTGGGCCATTCACCAAACATAAATATAGCATAAATGAGAATGGAAAATGCACAAGTCCTCAGGTATAGGGTGTAATGGACATTCAAGCAGATAAATGCATAAAAGTATCATACGTTAGTCATCTTGTGCTGTAAAAATGCTTATTCAACAGGAACCTTGCAACGAAGGAAGGTGTAAACACTTATAAGTCCATAGCACTCCTGAAAGAGGGAACCACCATAGTGCTCCAAGTAAATGCAGAAGGAACCCAGCAGGGTAGCTAGTGAACAAAATGCCTGAGTGGTTTTACCAGTATATCATCAGCTTCATCAGAGGCAAATGTTGACTTACCTGGCTCCCTGGACTCAATTAAATTGAAAATCACAAGTGGAGATAGAATGCCATCCCACCCTGGGTGATGGAAACAAATGTCACTTCGAGTGTACACCACAGTCCGCCACTTCCGGCCCATGCAATTACATCATTGCGCATATCGGAAGTGATGCAGCTGATGGATCTGATACTTCCACATTTCCTTTTTGTCACATGCCTTGCTTCTAGTAGTCACCTTGTTCAATTCCCTTTTGCAGTGGATTTCTTCAGTTACGCCAAAGCTTGGTGGTTTGGACACTCCCACTGTAACTGGTAGCTGCATTTACCATACGTAGTAGTAATCTTCTGGGGAGTGGTGAAGTACCATTGATACCTTTCCATGACCCAGATGCATTTGCTGAGACTCTTGGTGCACTAGGTGACCTGTGTCAGGTAACCAGTGCCCTGGAAAGATCTAGGTTGCAGCTAATGTGCAGAACAGGTCCCAAGAACCAGACAGACAGACAATCTATCCAGTTATGATGAGACACCCTGGTGTCAGGGTTCTGGTTCAAATTATCCCAATGCTAAATCTTCAGATGAACCATGCTATCCTGCTGTCTTGAGGGACTTGAAGTGTTGGGTTTTATATCTAAGAATCCAGTTTACAGGGCACCCAGCCAATTGCCAGAACCCAGCATTGGTGTTTAGCCTATTATTTGATTCTGGTGGCAGGTCATCTTGTCAGTTACCAAACTTTGGAGGTAGAAAATCTGACATATCTTCAAATTGTGCTGGTGGGAGATCTTCCCTTATGACAAAGGCTGGTTAGAGCCTCTGGAGGCTCTAACCAGCAGGTGTCTCCCTCGCTCCCTGATGCTGGCTACTGGAAGGGTATTTAGCTCCTCCTCTAACTTCCCACAGTGCCTCGATGTTTTGCCTGTGTGCTCAGTTCCTGTAACCTTGATGTTGACCCTAATCCTACCTGCTCCCAAGTACCTTCTCTCCATCCTGGCCTATTGCTGACCTGCTATTCCTTGCTGCTCTGTCCTATTTTTACTGCTTTTTGCACATAATGTAAGGAATACTAAGTGTTGGTATCCTGTGAAACAGGCCTCACCAGAAATGTATGAACTTGTAAAGAGAACACCAGGCAAAAATATGGTATAAAATAATTTGATTTATTATTAACATACAATGCCAGTAAAACAGCAATAGAAAAACATGCATCAACTACTGCAAGAAAACAAAAAAATTCAATTAACCACAACCAACAAACCTAATGGGTGAGAGTGAGAACAAGAAGCAAACTACCAAATCCAACTAACTAAGCTAACTAACTAACTACATACAGATTGCTGGATAAGATTATTATTATTATTATTATGCAGGATTTATATAGTTATATAGAGCCAATAGTTTACACAGCACCTTACAACATAAGGGCAGACCATACAATTAATTACATTAGGAACCAGAGGGCCCTGCTCGTTAGCGCTTACAATCTAAGAGGGAGGGTCAAGACATACAAAAGGCAATAACTCTGGGGGATGGGCTGATGGAGAAAATACATGCAAAGTTTTTAGGTGGGGGCAAGATAGGCCTTTATAAAGAGATGAGTTTTTAGGCATCGTGTCAGGGCTCCAGGGTATGACCAGAGGTATGTGAACTGACGCAGGGAAACGCAGGCTTCAGATATGTTATAAACAATATAATTTATTAACATTAACAATACATAAACGCAGTGCAATACTAAAACATAACAGTGCAAACAAACCAAACCACCCACAGATAACAATACATACAATGCAAGCGTCGTCAGGCAGGCCAGGTCAATAACAATCGGGCAGGTAGGAACAGGAGGAGCAGGCAGAGAGTAGTCAGGTCACGAGCCGGGTACAGCAACTAACGGGCAGGTAGGTACAGGGGGTCAGGCAGAGAATGGTCGGGGTCACAAGCCAGGGATCAAACAGGAGAAGTCAGAGGTCCGGATCAGGCAGGGTCAGCAACGAATCAGTCAGACAGGAACAGGGATGCAGGTAACAAGATACAGGGGCCCATAGAAAACCACACACCAAGGCACAGACTGCAGGTCTGGCCATCCCTTAAATACACCTGTGATCAGCCTCAGGTGTTTTGGCTGACTGCAGGGTTGAGTCTCTGATTGCTAAGAGCACCCGCTGGCCAGCCCTGGTACTGCAGCCCACAAGGCAGGTGAGTCCCACCATTGCTGGCAAGTCCATTCCTGACAGTACCCCCCCCCCCCTCAGGGAGCGGCGTCAGGACGCTCCAAACAGTCCTAGCTGGGCAAAATGTTCCACCGCCCGGGTCTGGTAACTGGCGGGATATCAAAGACTGGCACATCGGGCTGGACTCCAGGCAGCGGCACATCGGGCTGGACTCCAGGCAGCGGCACATCGGGCTGGACTCCAGGCAGCGGCACATCGGGCTGGACTCCCAGGCAGCGGCACATCGGGCTGGACTCCAGGCAGCGGCACATCGGGCTGGACTCCAGGCAGCGGCACATCGGGCTGGACTCCAGGCAGCGGCACATCGGGCTGGACTCCAGGCAGCGGCACATCGGGCTGGACTCCAGGCAGCGGCACATCGGGCTGGACTCCAGGCAGCGGCACATCGGGCTGGACTCCAGGCGGGGCGGCAGGCGCAGGGCCCCCAGGCGGGGGCGGCAGGCGCAGGGCCCCCAGGCGGGGCGGCAGGCGCAGGGCCCCCAGGCGGGGCGGCAGGCGCAGGGCAGAGCGGCGGGCACCGGGCCCCCGGGCGGAGCAGCACGACAGCGGGCACCGCGTCATCTGGCAAGGCAGTGGGCACCGAGTCACCAGGCACGACAGTGGGCTCTGAGTCAATTGGCACGACAGCGGGCACCGGGTCATCAGGTACCGGATCGTCTGGCTTGACAGCAGGCACCGGGTCATCTGGCGCTGGATCGTCTGGCTCGACAGCGGGCATCGGGTCACCAGGCATGACAGCGGGCACTGGGTCATCAGGCATTGGATCCTCTGGCTCGACAGCGGGCATCGGGTCACCAGGTATGGCCGCGGGCACCGGGTCATCAGGTACCGGATCGTCTGGCTCGACAGCGGGCATCGGGTCACCAGGCATGGCAGCGGGCACTGGGTCATCAGGCATTGGATCGTCTGGCTCGACAGCGGGCACTGGGTCATCAGGCGTGATAGGATCATCAGGCTGGGTACAGACATCAGGCTGGGTACAGACATCAGGCTGAAGTGCGGGTGCCGAGGCACCAGGCTGAACCACGGAAGGCAGGTTCTCAGACGGCAGGCTCACCGGTTTGGATACTGGCAGGATGGTACTGGTTGGAAAGAATTTTCGCTTTTTTCTGGTTCTAACTACTGGAGCACTGCAAGTAAACGCAGGTCTGCAAACGAATGGAGCAGCTGAGGACAGAGGAGAGCTGGAGGATGGAACAGAGGGAGCAGTTGCTACAGAGGACTTCTTTACAGGGTTAAAGAAAGGATAGGTGCAGCGAGTGGGAGCAGAGGACTGATATGTGGTAGATAGAGTATACTGGGCAGTCCCTGGGGGTGCTGTCGGGGATGCAGGAAGAGTGCCTTGAGCGGAGGAATGACGTTGTAAGCTGACTGAGGCTGGGTGCAACAAGTCTGACCATGTCTGCAGTATGGGTTGAACAAACCTAAGCTTACACAAAGCCTGTCTGGTCAAAGACTGCACTGCGTTTATACAATCCCTTAATACCTGTGGTGAACATGCAGCATAATGCTCCAAGAAGCAATCCACATCATCCTCTAATAACCATACCAGGGACTCTACCTGGTCTGCACTAAATGGTGGCAAGAAGTCAGTCCTGCTTTCAGGGGTACCAGATAAAGCCAACTCTACACAAACCTGAATCAAAGGTTGCACCTCAGAGAACTCTGTGCCCTGATCTACTAGAACATGAGCGATCCGTATACATTCTAGCAGTTGATCCCGGGTATACTCTCTCAGAGTCTGATAAGCATATTCTCTGTCATCAAAAACCAGCAGCGACAAATACACAACCTCATCAAGATACATCCTTCCCAGCAACAAGCCAAGATGGCTTCCCTGTGCAGCCACTTCTGGTCAGGATTGGCCTTGGTGTAATGTCAGGGCTCCAGGGTATGACCAGAGGTATGTGAACTGACGCAGGGAAACGCAGGCTTCAGATATGTTATAAACAATATAATTTATTAACACTAACAATACATAAACGCAGTGCAATACTAAAACATAACACAGTGCAAACAAACCAAACCACCCACAGATAACAATACATACAATGCAAGTGTCGTCAGGCAGGCCGGGTCAATAACAATCGGGCAGGTAGGAACAAGAGGAGCAGGCAGAGAGTAGTCAGGTCACGAGCCGGGTACAGCAACTAACGGGCAGGTAGGTACAGGGGGTCAGGCAGAGAATGGTCGGGGTCACAAGCCAGGGATCAAACAGGAGAAGTCAGAGGTCCGGATCAGGCAGGGTCAGCAACGAATCAGTCAGACAGGAACAGGGATGCAGGTAACAAGATACAGGGGCCCATAGAAAACCACACACCAAGGCACAGACTGCAGGTCTGGCCATCCCTTAAATACACCTGTGATCAGCCTCAGGTGTTTTGGCTGACTGCAGGGTTGAGTCTGATTGCTAAGATCACCCGCTGGCCAGCCCTGGTACTGCAGCCCACAAGGCAGGGGAGTCCCACCATTACTGGCAAGTCCATTCCTGACACATCGTCTAAAACTCGACAGAGTAGGAGATACTCAGACAGATTGGGGTTGGGGGTTCCAGTGGATGGGAGAGGCTCTGGAGAAGTCCAGGAGGTGAGCACATGGGAGGAGGTGATAAAGGAGCTAGAGTGCAGGAGGTCTTAGGAAGAACAAAGAACAATTTGGTTGGTATTTTGAGACAAGGTTAGTGTCACGGTCTGGGTCAGGTTCAGAGACCAGTTGCTACAGTAGTTGTAAGGCTTACATGAAACCAGCAGGATTGGTACACCAGCGGGTCACCCTGGGAATGATGCAGGCTCACCTGAGGTGCGGAGTCTAAGTATCCACCGGTCTTCCCCAGAGGTCCTAATGGTGGAGATGGATTTGGCTGCATGTGAATACCAGGTCGCAGTCCCAGAATCACCCTACCAGGGAAAGGGCAAGCTGGAAACCAAGAGCAGATCAAACAGTTTAGGGATAAGACAAAAGCGAAGTCAGTCACAAACGATATAGATGGCAGCAGTACGGATGAGCGGGATATTGGCTGGAAGGCACAATAATCTGGCAAGGAGGAAGTGCATGGACATGGCTTTTATAGGAAGTTCATGGGGAGGAGCAAGAAGTTCAAGATTCAAGAGAAGACAAGGCACAAGGCAGGATTATCAAATAGATCAGGCAGCATATAGTCCAGTATCCCAGGTAGAATAGTGAGAAGGATCATTGCCTCTCACTGCAGAAGGCCCAGGTTCGATCCCAGGCTCTGACAGTTAGTGATGTAACTGGGGGCTGAGCTGTGGATGGCTTTGTAAGTTGTTGTTAGTATCTTGTATTTAAAGGATAAGTTAACCTTTTGACCAAAAATAATAAATGCACATTTTTTTGCAGGTAAAAAATTGTGCATTTATTATTTTTGGTTGCAGGACCCTGGAAAGCATTGCACCAGCGATCAGTAAATCGCTGATACCATGCAAGTCTCCTGCAGGCCTTTCACTATATCTGCTTGTCCATACGGGATGCACAGGCAAGCAAATTTACTGACAGAAAGATTCAATAAATTACCATGGTGCTTCACAATGCTATGGTAGTTCATTGAGAATTACAAGCCGACAGCTACTAAGGCTGTCAAGACTTGCAGTTCATTTACTCACTGAGCACTGTGAATGAATGACACTGTTGTGTGGGTGGAGCCCCACACAGCTGCACTGTTTTTAAAAAGAGACAGCTAGTATGGGGAACTTCTGTCACAGGGAGGGGGGGCAGCGGCTGCAGCACTGGGAATATGTTACATATTCCACCCTAAAAACAGGTGGAACATGTAACATGTTCCCAAAGGTGAACGTTAATTGGTTGGGTGAGTGGAAGCCAATGGGGGGATTGAAAGAGAGGGGTCGCTCAGGGAAGAAGATCAGAAGCAGGAACAGGTGCAGTAGCAGATAACAGGCAACAGGATGTGAGCCACACAGACCAAAGGTACACAGGCAGAGCACTAGGGCAAGATGGAGAAGCAGAGGAGGGACTAAATACCTTCCCGGTGACCACAATCATGTGATGACTAATTGCTAGGAACTGCTGGATGCTAGGAGACACCCTCTGGTGGACACTGGAACTACATACCATGGGTCAGGGAGCCACAATGCCATCAGCAGGTGATCCAATTCCTTACAGTCCCTCCCCCTCCTCTAAGGAGCAGCCCTTGGACACCCCAACCAGCCTTAGTTAAAAGTCCATAAGAGATATTGACCTGCTGAATAAGGGGAAGTTTTTCATAGGTCGAAGTGCCAAATTCCCAGTGAGATGCCCTGCCCCGGGATGAAATAACAGGCTAGATGTCCCACCATCAGGGTCTGACAACTGACTGGGTACCGCAACGCTGGGGTTTGGCAACTTTGATACTTTGAAATTTGATACTTCAAGTCCCTCAGGACAGCAGGTAGCCCAATGCTGGGATACACACATATTATCCGCACACTTAGCCATGGGGTAATTTGACAACACCGAAACTCTTGTTCTCTAAGGATCAACCACCAATGTCTTTCCAAGGCAATGGACACCCAATCCGGGTCCTCTGGTGCACCTGGATTCAAAGTAATTAAATTGAGGTTACGGTAAGGTACAGATGGTACTCTGCCACTCCCTGGGAGCTCAGCACTATCAGAGCCATGAAGGCGCATGCAGCTACCAGTTATGGAGGGTATGTCCAGACAACAAGGCTTTGACACCACAGGAGCAACATACTGCAAGAGGGACAATAAAGACAATCTCAAGCCAAACAGGCAACCTATACAAGGCATATGACAATGAAAACTCAGAAGTTTCAGACGCATCAACAGGCAGAGCAGTGTTCAGAGACGTTACAGAACTCAGGTTGGTTTTCAGGCAGAGGATCTATAGAGCCAAACTTCACAGTAGACTGAGAACCAGGAGAATCAGGCTGAAAAGAGGGTGGCATATCACTGGAGTTAAACTTGGTAGCTGGAACAGGGTATCGGTACATAATAGCTTGGAAGAATGGTTGAGAACCCCAGCTGGCTGAATGAGGCAGTCTATCCAAAAGATCAGAAGAACTTTATAGACAGTGAGGCCAAGGCCAGTGTAGGGTGAGGCCAGGTTACTGAGTGTCCCGAATATGAAATGATAGAAGGTTTGATTGACAGGGGCTGGACTGGAGTAACAGCATGGTGGCAGACATGACTGGAATAATTGGTGAGGAGGCAGACTGAACCAGATCCGCAGATGTGGAGGTAAACTGGACCAGATCAGCAGGCTGAGAAGCAGACTGGACCTCATCAGCAGGTATGGAGGTGGGCTAGACCCCATTAGCAGGCTTGGAAGCAGGAGTGGATAGTGGCAGGATTGCATGAGTTGTAAAAACCTTCTGTTTCATTTTAGGTTTAGACAATGAAGTTCTGCAAGTTATTGCAGGGCTGTGAGCAGGGTTTGCAGCTGATGGAGGAGTAGGAATAGAACTGAGAGATGGTGAAATAGGGGAAGCAGTTGCAGAGGAGGTGGAAGGGGAGGTCTTTAAAGGGTTAAATGTGAGGATAGTGCAGCTAGTGGAGACAGGGTACTGACATATAGTTGGGAGCAGAGTATACTGGGTGGCAAATGTATTTGCGATGGGTGAATGAGAGGGAGATACTTGAGCGAGTGGGTGTCTAGCAGCAGGAGTGGGTTGGTGGAAGCAAGAGTGCAATACATCTGACCAGGCTTGTAGTAAGGGTTAAACAAAACTCAGTTTACATTTCCCTTGTCTGACTACAGAATGTACTGCATTAACATAATCCAATAGCACCTGTTGTGAACAGGCTGAGTAGTGCTTAAAGGAGAAGTAAAGGCTTTTGGCTGTACATCTCCTTTGGATCACAGGAGTGCAGTTCGTTCTGCACCCCTGTGACCCATTTTTAGCTCACAGTGGGCTGAGGCGTCACTCAGCCAGTCCAGGCTGGGGAAAGATCCCCAACTTAAAGTCAGGATCCACCCCAGAGTCTGGAACAACACCTGGCTCAGCCTCTCAGCGAGGCACTGAGCGCCTGAGCCAGCTGCTCCCTCCACAGCCCAGCGTTCCAGTGAGCATGTGGGGGGGCAGAGCAGAGAGCGGTGACTGACAGTCATCGTTCTCTGCTCAGGGCGGCAGTCAGAATTCAGCGATCATGTGATCACTGAGTTCTCACACTTAGAGACAGCAGGGGAAAAATGGAG